CATGTGCCAGTCCTGAAGATCCCGAGTTCTGTTCTCCATTCCTGTACCTTGCAACTAACATCGAAAGGCGGCGCTGACCTTGGTTGAGAAGTGTGCAACTAGCAGTCCATAAGTCTTGCTAGCGAACTTTGTCTGCCACTCCGTCGACCACCGTCGCGACAAATAACTCGTCGCATCCCCAGCCGAGGAAGTAGCCTACCAATGTCGTCAATATACCAGAATCACCCGGCCCTGCTTGCGGAACCAGCCAAGTCCTCTATGCGCAGCAAACACCGACAAGCGGAGTCTCGATCAAAAAGTTGTCCCAAAAGCTGAACACTTGCGAGCCAAACGAGTCAACAATGTCAGACTACCCAGCTTGGCTGGCAGTGCCTCTTCAGGAACAACTGCGATGGCCTGGGCTCCGAGAGGACTCAACATGATCTCAGAAGCGGCCAGTCAGACGACTGCCTCCCTTGGAGGTCGGCCAAAAGCGACCAGCAGGCCCATTGACCCGTCGGGGTGCTCCACTTTACATATTTTTCCCCCCAAGTCGGACTGTTCCTGGAGGCTGTCATGGATAGTAGCACGATGACTGGGGGATATACTGATGGCAGTCAGGAGACTTGTAATCGGGTACAATGGCATGAAGATTGTGTGCGGACATTGTGTCGAATACGGACTTCCTGCCCATTCAAGTTACATCGCTTGCGTGTTCGAAATCGTGGCAACGAAAACCCCGTACAAGAGAGTCAAGATACCACTCATGCAAATGAAATTTTCTCTATCTATAAAATTGAAATGGCCATGAATTTCAGCGTGAAATCCGCAAATGTTTTGCCAAGAGGTTCTCCGAACGGCAAAGGCTGGTAGTGAAATGCCCTCGACCTCAATGCGAGGCAACGATGACAGTCACGGCAGACCTTGACGTTTCCACCATCATATGATTATCTACGTGTATCCGGCAGCTTAGCGCACACCCAAAGCGAAGGCCACCAATCAATTCGCCATAATGAATGCCTCTTCTCGTGCCGCAAACCCGCTCAAGTGGCACTATCAATGTCGAGACAATCGATTCAACCTCGTTATCCTACTATGATCACGGCACATAAGTTCGGAGTTGGTTGGTACGATACCTGTAAGCAATGCTTACGATCCATGACCAGGTCTAGGCCCAAGAAGACGATTGGGAAGAATTGCAATCATATGAGTGTTACAGCCGTGATGACGATAATGGGAAGCGTCCCTGAATCTAAATATACTAATGAAGTGAACGAGGCGACAGTGTACTGAGATCGGGAGACTTACAAAGCTTCTCCAGATCACTCTATTCACCAGTAGTTTGAGCACCACCATCAAAATCTTGAGGCGCGTGCGGAACTGTCAAATCGGGCTCGTCGGTTTGCGCCCGTCAAGTGGCCTGAATTCGGGGAGCGGCAGCTAGCAGAACGAAAACTCACTTCTTCTCAGCACGCCTCCATCTTCGTAGCCAATCTCCCTAGACCATCGCGGAGATATTCTAGCTGTTCAAACTCAGGTAACGCTTCCTCAAACCCACAAAAGATTAGCTGGCTAGATGAGGCAATCTTATAAGCCTGCGTTCTCATGATTTTGACCACGCTTTGAGTAATTTTGAGATAACAATATTGAGCTTGTTGAAGAGGAACGTGATTTCATCAATCTATTTATATGTCCAGGTAATACACTGGACTTCTTGGACCAGTGACCCCTTTCTTATTTCTGGTGTCCAGCTGTGTAAAGGTCAGCTTGTCGGTGATTCCATGAAGATCAAGTCTGAACCCACGGGAGCAATGCTTGTATTCACACATGCGGTGAGCCTGGGTGTAAGCTAATATGCAGTAAACATCCATTGTTCACGTATCTCCCCGACACATGCTTTCAATACAGGGTATTGGTACTCCCTGGCATCAACAGTTGTCATTCTCGTGCCGACGGTTTATTTTGTCCATGGGTCAATGCAGGGCTCCTCTTGAGTTGAAATTTGAACACTGCAAGGGAATCTCATATTCTTAGCAGGCACAACATCCAACGGTTGAGTTCAATCTTTCAGAAAGCAGGCTACCCATCCCGAATGACGACTACCAGTAAAAACGAACGACGCTTGTGCTACGTGGAGACATTCAGTCAGGATGTTCTGTGCAGACTCAAATATCAAGAAGGATAGGTCATGCAATCTTCTCAGAGGCAGTACATTGAAACCTTTCTCGTCCTCTGGAGGTTCAGCTGCCCTTCTCCAAGCAACGTACGGCCCAAGAAACTCCCAAGTAAAGTCAGAACCGTACTTTGACTCACATTGCTTAGAGCTCGCCGAATCTACAGGGGGGGCAGCTAGCTAAGCTAATTCGTCAGTCTGTGAGGCCCCAAGTACGAACCATAATCCAGAGAAAATATTGCTACTTATTGTCCATGTACCATCCTTCTTGGCGTATCTTCTAAAACAACAGAGACAGAAATTCTAAGCGAAAATGCGTTTCCAGCGGTTTGAAAATTACTTGCGCACACTTCGGCGTCAAAGTGACCTGAAAGATTCACCTTGGATTGGGGAGACCGTTCTTCAGCTGTCTGGAAGCGAGTATGATCGCTAGGGATGTCTTCAAGATCTTCCTTTCCACACATCGGATCGTTCATCGATGCTAGGCATGATATTCCACATATCTCTCGGATTTCTAGCTCCCTTATCTTGGACCAAATACTACCAAGACGCCACGATAGCCCTGACGAGTTGGCTGCATGACTTCACGATCGAGGCCCCTCGGGTGAAACTAGAATGTATGATGAAGCGATGTCTATTGCGACACCTGATTATATGTTTAGTCGGCACGTATCTTAAGCACTTAAGGAAGAACAGATCAATGAAACAAGCTCACGCACACGCAAAGAATAAATGAACCGTGTATGACGAGTGCTACGACGAGAGAAATGTAGGTAAAGGTCTGCCTTAGCAGGGATCGTTGGGGTCGACTGGCCATATTGATACTCCATAGGTTTATTTCAACCCCATCTCCAACGAATTCTGATCCTACGCGCAACCTAAAGTCTTGCCCTAGCTCTCATATCCTCGATCATCCATTACTTAGACATTGGCTTAAGAATTGGCCTTGGAGAATCTGAATTCGTGCCAAGAATGATGAGAATGAGTCTTCGGCATTTGCAACAACCTAACTGACATCTAGCCAAACCAACGGTTCATATTGGAATTTCATACGCTTAGGTTTGTGTGGCGAATTGATGCAGTTCTCCTGCAAGAAACTCGGTCAACTGTGGATCATCACCTGATAAGACAGTTGAAAGAGCTATCATTCTTATCACGCACACCCTCAAACGACCGGTTTTATGGATGGCCTGTATGAGTTTCAAACATCTGTTTGCCTAACCGACAAAGCTTCAGCTAGCTGGACAGCTTTTTGCCTGGTTGATTCTTACTTCGAGAAGACAACAGATCCCGGCAACGACTATCTGAAGAGAACGACCAGGGCGGCGAGGGCGGCGAGGGCGACGAGGGCGTGCAAGTACGGTCGAGCCACGTCGTTGTTACGTCCGCTAAGACTCAAACGTTCTCTGCGTTCCAACTTATACCCGCTTCTTCAATACCTTGTGGCGAATCCCAACGCCCATCTTCAGGATATCGGTTGAACGACTACCATAAGGGGAATGCATCACCCGCTCAGGTCCACATACCCGCATCATCGACACCGGAACTCATGTCCAAACTGAAGTCAGACATCGACAACCAGAACGAAGTCATGAAGATAAAGCCTTCTGCTTCTAAGTCGGTGGTCTTCGTGTTGGCTAGGGCTCCCATTACGGCGGCGTGGGCGGTTCATTATACAAGACAAGTCATATCTTCTGTGAAGTCGTCGATCAATGCGACATAAGACAGGGTTTATTCGGATCTTGTGCTCTAGTAGTGGTTCCCGCACCACCATTTTGGTGTACTACTGAATGAAATTGAAAAGCTTGCGACGGACATAACAGAGTTCCATCAAAAGTTGCTACCGCTTCCATAAGCTTTCCATTCCTTCCAAATAAGTCCCATTCTGGACTAATTTGTAACTCTCGCTTGAGGGGCAACATACTCGAAACCCAAGATTCCAGTCGCTTCTGCTCTACTAGCCACGATTATCCACGCCTACGGAACATTTGATGAAACCTACATGGATGGAAAAAAGCTCGCAAGAACGTCCAGTTCATGGACGCTATCACGGCAATAAGGAAATATATAGGCGATGCGGTGTGGGTTCAACTTAGGTCGAGCCAAGTCTACGGTTTCTTTGTCAAGGAAAGTCTCAGTTCGTCTGTGTCTTCGGGCTCCATCGTGTCGACGCTCAATAATACTGCTGAGAGCTGCACATCAATTTCAAGATCTCTCGCGAAAATCTACTTTTAAGGCTCGAGAATCGACTGGCTACTATTCTATCGCCCTTACTGAACCGCTGTGCGGTTGTTGACGCTCCCCACGTACACGTGGGACTTACAGAGCTTCTGGGTCACATACACTGAGAAAGGCGATGGGTTGCGCGTAAGCCTCGCCGCAAACTCCCAGCTCAACCCGAAGCAAATCGCAACCTGGGTGCAAAGTATCAGTACAGAACTCTTAGCGAGCAGTGACTCTGAACCTAGTTTCAGGGCCTTTATTGCCGACTTAGGAATGGATGCCCTCATTTAAGGCCATCGGGTCCGCGATATGACGATCTCCTCCGGAAACGCGTTCTGTGATTCTGCTTCCACTGCTACCAAGTGCGTGTTTAAATCATCAGCACGACTCGAGACGTGAAGCAACCTGGGATGGCGATCCGCAATCTTTTGCCCAAGCGTCCGCTGCGCAAGGCAGTCATTGGCCCGTTTGAAGAACTTGTCACAACTGCAAATGTGAAGAAGCTCGCCAGTGATCTTGCGAAAATAACATTCCAATCCTCTGGGCAAAACCTAGACAGCTGTACAATCTCCGTCTGCGAAGCGGACGTCCTCAAGGCCGAGTGAGACAAGATACTTTTCTTCACTCAGGTAAGAATAGACGACATAATCAATAGCGCCAAGGATTCCAACTTGAAGGTCTCGTTGAGGTCCTGTCTTAGCGCAGCTGCATCCTCTTCATATAGTGTAAACTTGTTGAAGAATTTGAACGCCGTGCTCTTTCCAAACTGTTTCGTGTCGAGCCGGGTATCGTTGAGAATGTTGCAGAGACCAATCTCGACAAAAGTGCCAAGGGTGGCCAGGCACTTCTACAATGTCCGAAGAAGCTGCCCAGGGAGTGAATTGAAAACACAGTCAACTCCTCATCCATTCGTCCCGCGCATCACGCTTTTAATGAAGCTAGCATCGCGGGAGTTGAAACGATGCTTCTTAAGGAGATTATGCGTATTAGCCAATAGCCTCCGCTTGTTTTCCCAACCAACGGTGACATGGACGCTCATATCCAGGTGAAACGCAATCCACACAGCTATTTGGGCCACACTACCAGTTACAGCTTGTATCAGAACCAACTTGGCCTTCGTTAACTTAGCGAGATTGGCAAGGGCATGGTACGCAGTGGTATGGACAACGAGCAAGTCCGCAGCCTCCTCGAAGGTTATGGCGTCAGGCAGATGTGCAACAACGCGATGATCGACCTGGATCTTTGTGGTGTGTGTACCGACGCCCAAGAAGCTCACGCAGTCACCGGGCTTTAAGCGGCTTGCCTGGCTGCCCGTCTTGATAACGACGCCGTTGTCCTTTTGTCCAAAGAAATACATGAGAACGAGTCGTATAGTGGTCATGATATCTTGTAAATTGATGTTCGTGGGCTTCACCTTGATCTCCACTTCATTTATCGCGAGAGACGCTTGACATGGCCGACCTTGATGAATTTCAAGGTGTTCGGCGGACCAGGTCCCTCGATCTAGAACCTCAATTTCTCTTCAGCGCTGACAGATGTGACCCGGGTCGAACCATGCAAGTGGTGCTTGATGGACTCATTCTCGGCCAAGCTTCTGTAGATGTGGGTCACCTGCAAGACCCCATCGCGTTCACGAAACTCATCATCTTTTGTGGTTTCCGAAGACAAGATACGAGATGCAAGGGCTGGACTGTGTTGAGGCCCGTTTCTTGGCTCGGACGCAGAACCTGGAAGCACTTTTGCTGTCGACGCAGCGTGCCAACCCACCAGCCACGTCGATTGATGGGCTGTCGCCACAGGTGATCCAGAGAAGGCGCTGGTCCGCCAGATATAGAGCCTTCACAACTTTGTGCTACTTCTCCGACAAGTTTTCGAGTACCAAGCTGCTTCTCAAGTTTCAACAGAGATATGAGAAGCTCGCTTTCTGCAACATCAGACTTTTTCCGTCGGCCAAGGTCTTCGTTGACACTGTGTGGCTCTGGGAGAGAACCAATTCCTGTAGATCCTTGGAAAATTGTCGAGACTCTTTGGACATGGTTGTCCGCCATGACAAATGCCGGCCAAGCTGACGTGCTATTGTCGATGGGACTTGCATCTGCGTTCTTGGCACCCCAGTACAGTGTAGGGCGCTTATTTCCCTCAACTCCAAAGACAGTCAACCAGGAATGGGTTCTTGTTTGACAACAATGAGAACCGCCGCTTCTGGCTTGGTGAGTTTGAGAACCTGCTGAAAGAACTGGTCGCGCTTGTCATTCTCATCTACATCGCTGGAAATGATCAAAAGATCGGCCTTTAGAATGTTCTTTGGCAAGGGGCTATCCAGTGTGCCACGCTTGAACGCTTTGCCGAGGACTGCTGTCTTATCGGTTAATCGGCTCTTGGAGGCCTTGATGACCGCGTAGCGAAGTTGCCTTGGGCTGTCGATGTCCCCAGGTAGTCCTGCGACGACCGAGTTGCGTACGGCGTTGTGTTTGGGACGAGCCGCAAAAGCGTGGCTGCTGGGTTCAAGTGAAGCGCCATCCGATTGACCGGTATCGTCAATGTTAGCACTTAGGACAGAGTCTCCGGCATGGATTACAAGCATAGCTCAGCCGTCCTGTCCTTGAGCTTAATAGCAGATATCACTCGGTTGATTTCCTTTGGCTCCATAACACCCAAGGCACAATTCCAGCGTACTTCTGACATCCAATAATGTCTGTTGAGTCAACCTCGTTGTCTTCGCAGCTGCTGCCGTCGTCCATGTTCAGCTCGGCATCTCGGAAGTTTTTGATCACGGTGTAAGGCTTGGAAACATCATTGTCGAACGTGAACATTTCCGCAGACAAATTCGTAAAGTCATATCGCTGCTACGGGAGGCAGAGTAAAGGCATAATGTAGCCCACGTCGCTGTAAACATCAGCTCCGATTTCAAACTCCGTAAAGTGAACAGGCACGAATGTTCTCCGACAGTCGAAGCCTCTGTCCTCGTCATCTACTTACGTGCTACTAAGCCAGCTCTGGAAGACTGCTTCGAGGGTACCAGCGTGAATGAGGAATTTGACCATTGATGTAGGTCTCCCCGATATCGGTGACTCCGATATTGCATGTGCTCTGGCCGTCGCCTACATGGCAGCCCTCAATTCACTGGAAAACCTCACCGAATTTCCAAGAAGTACTGTTCATGTGGTTGTAGAAGTTTTCATAGGCGTACTCGAGATTCGACACCTTGTGAATGCGATGGTACTTCGCGGCTTTTGAGGCTGCAATGGTAGCATCTTCTTATGCCATCTACGGTGTCGTATTTCCATGGCAGCTTATCGTCATGAGTCCACGGCAGTTGTCTCTCAGCTGATCACCGCCCATGCACGAAGACAAGGTGAGCTCTCACCCCGGTGCAGGGTTTAATCCAATTGTGAATTGAAGGCGGAGCCTCATGTGGGCAAATACTTCTGTTGCAACTCTTTCGGGGCGTGCCATGGCAACGAACAGAAACACATCGCGTAGACGGAAAGCTTGAGCATGCTTTTTCGATGCAACAACGTGTTGACTAGCCTCTGGAATGATACTAGTCATACCAGCTCCAGGGAGAAGTACGGTGCTGCCAACCTTGTGCCCGTGACGCCAAGGCTCGTCCTCAAGTCGGAGAAAGCTGAGCCATACCGTTTGCGTCTCGTGCATCATGGATACTAACGCTCCCAGGAGACTTCGAGTGGGAAACATCTGTGCCCAAAGTCCCTTTGCAACGCGAGAGTCACAGCGGGAGACTTTTGAGTGGAATCAGGGATATAGCGGTAGGTCGGCGAGAAGCTGCAATTGAGAATTACTATCAATCTTTCAAACTTCCAGAGAGACACCTTTAGCAAAAGCCTCAGAGGCAAGCTGCAGTCTGCAGACTCGTGTCGGCGACGCTCTGAAGTCTAGTGAGAATGTACTTATAACTGACATTGCTGATCCCTCTGTGAGACAAAATCTGCTCGATAAAGCCACCAAGAGCACTATGAGGACCTAGTTCTATTGGCAGGTCGAGAGTCTTGCCCCCCGCCTCCTCTGTTGCCGATAGAGAAACCATCACCGTGATTACTTTCCCAAAGAGAAAAGGAGACACCAGTTTGCGCGCCGAGTAGTAGCCCTCAAGCAACTCAAGCGCAACTTCACCACCAGAGGCATCAGAGATAATAGTTACACGCTTGATTTATCTTCATCTGAGCTGTTTGGCTCGATATCGATAGAAGCAGCATAATCTGAGGCAGTACCCCAGATATAGCTGGAGTAGTAGGCGACATCAACCTAAAGGATATCAGCAAACATGCTCTCCTTCTTGAGGATGGTTCGCAGGTTTTTGAAAGCGGCTGAGGCACCCAAAATGGTGACGCTGATCGGAGAGTCCACACAGATCACCGTAGTGACACCGCCAATATTTTCTTCATTCTGCGCGAGAAACGATCGTGCTTGATCTTGATCATAGGAGCATCCCACAGCCATGATGCCGCCCTTGAGACCGGCCAGGCCAGAGGAATCCTTGCCTCTGATGTAAGCAATGGCGACGGCACCACGTTGCGTGTGCGCTCCAGCGCAGTACACCGCTGTAATAACTTCGCTTGAGTGGTCAGCAACTTTCTTGGGCGTCACTCCCCGAGAGCGGAGCTCGTCAATCAGCGCAATCTGCAAAAGCAGTACAGATGGGCTGGCTGACAATGTGCGCCTTGAGACGTGACTCTTCTTTGACCTCATTAGTTCTTGACAGCCGTGTTTCGATCGTCGAAGAGGATGACGGGACTGGGCTGGTTGTGAAGTAGAAATTTGGGGTTATCATTCCGTTCTCTATTGCCAGGAAGCCCTTAATAATATCCGCAATACCAGCCGCAGCTCCCAAGTGACCGATCTAGGGAGTGAAGTCAGCCTTTCATTAATATAGTAACTAGTACATATAAAGTCCTTATGTTTGGCTTCAGACTTCCTATCTAGATATCCTGTAACTTCGTCGTACCTGATCTAATGCTTCTCGAGATGGCTCGCGCTTCCAAAGAATCTCCGGCTTTTCTGCCCGTGCCCTATAAGGTGATGGCACTTTCAATATGGCTTTAACTTACATGCAAGTTCAAGCGATAGGTCCTGGTGATAACTTACATAGGCCTCCACATACTGAGTCGCAGAGTAGTCAAGTACATTGGCTTTGTAGACATACTTGATAAGCGCCGGCTACTCGTCAGAAGGCATCGTCACACATTCTGTCCACCCGTCCGAGTTGGTGCCCGTCGTCTGGATGACAGCACGGAAAGAATCTCTCTCAGCAAGCGCCTTTCCCAGGCGCTTAAGGACGAGGGCGCCAGCACCTTCACTGCGACTAAAGGCATCATCATCTGCACCGAACGAATTTTTATGGCCCTCAGCATTGAGGAACGTCAATTTGGCCAGCCGGATGTTGCTTTAGTGTGAGCGTCAAACCGACAACACCCGCCATGGCCCTCTCTGACTCCCTGAAGTGGAGACTCTGGCAGGCCAAGTGCGTAGCCACCAGACTCGAGGAGCACGTCGTCTGGACGGCGGCGCTATGGCCGTGGATGCCATTTTGGAGTAGGGTAAGAATGGTCCTGGAGAGAGTGAGTTTTAGACAGAATCTCTCGGAGCTGGCGTTTTGTCTACTCAACTCCGAAAGAGCTGGGATTGCCCTCCTCGAATGCTTCAGTGCAAACTTTCGTAATTGCCAATGTGACCAAAACCAAACACCTCCGTCTCCCCAGTGGAATTACACGCCGAAGGTTTCGAAGGAAGGAAATTAACGTTGAGAATTGCAATCAACTATCACTGCGATCGAGAACATATCCACCGAATGCTACGTGCGTTCACTCGCGAAGGACAGCTCATATCACTCACATACACATGTCGTAATGGCAATTAGCAACGCTCCAACATCAGTCATCATCACCGACGGCGCTAGCGGCATCGGCCTGACCATCGTACGTCGCTTTAGCTCTCAGGGCGGCACGGTTGCCATATTCGATTACAACCCAGCTTCTGTCAGGTCTATAGCATCGGAAGTTGCTTCGGAGTATCCTCAATCGACATTGAACTGTCGCCAAGATGGTGTTTTCTCGTAGACGGAGTCGGCTCAGGCGTTCTCAGATGTCTATAGTGCATTGTGCATGGTAGATGTTCTTTGAAAGTGCTGGCATTGCCGAGGGGATGTCAAGTGCCCTTGCAGCCATCCTGACGCTCCTCAATAGCCGAAACTAAAGGTTGTGGCCGTTGATTTGAATAGTGTCATTTATCGTAATCAAGTGACAATCGATGTGGATCTTACTACTAGTGTCTTCCATTTCTTCTATGACTGAGTCTAACACCGCATTGGATTATGGAGACTACCTACTTATGAAGGACCAACATTTGATTCTCGCATGATGAACTGTCTCACACATGTTATCGAAAGAATGGCAGTGGGCTTCGCATTTCAAATTAATTCTAAGTTATCGTTTGAACTTGCTCATTTTAAGGGTGTTATTGTAAACATTGCTCTGAAACAAGGAAGGCTTCGTGGAAGCCACGGCGTGCGCGTGCGTTCGTGATGCTCGGTGAGTTTTCGGGGGAGATCTCAAAACCCCACGGCATCCCATACACTTACTATCGACCATGTCATCCAATCCACATCAGTGTCATACGAACCTTATATTTCCCTTGGTCGTACTTTCTTTGTGAGCTTTCCCAAAGACGCTGGTTCATTCCCAACAAGTGAGTTGCGAGGCCATCATCTCCTGTTGTCCTTCCCGGCCGTTGACTCAGACCTCAGCAACGCCACCCGTTTCAACCCTTTACGCTGAGACTCCGATTCAATTGCTGCAATCCTCCATCATCCTGGTAGTCTTTCCTCTGCAGTCTGATCGAGTTACACCACAACTGTCGTCATCACCTGGAAAGATACCGACGCCATCGCTTTCCTTCCAGCTCCAGGGAGCCAGCCCTGACCGTCTGCAGAATGCCAACAACTTCGTGACAAGAGCCGCCTTTCCAACCCTGCAGTCCCCTGGTCAGCGTGATGACTTTTGTAGGTAGTCACGCTTTCCTTTGTGAACGACGAAGTGTCTCGAATTACACGTCGCAGGACTGTGGTGACTCTTCAAGCTGTCCCCGTTCAGCTCCTTTGCATTGATTTCGGGTCTACCGATGAAAAGGGTTACCTAATCACTCTTCATCTTGAAAGCAACTACCGCTCTGTGGGAGCTGTCGAAAAGACTAAATGTCTGAAAGCTCCCTCGCCTCAATGGCTACAACGGCAGTGGAATATCTTGGACCTAGGGCTTCTGTTAACCCTGGAATGCTGCTCTCAACCTTTCCTCCGCCTTCTAAATCCCCACTTTCAAAGACCTCGCACGATCGTTGCTAAGTAGCGACTGCTCTCTTAGATCACCCAATCCCCAACGCACTCCGAAATCTCGGCGAGACAACAGTCATAGCCGACATAGAGCATTTCCTTCTCCTGATTCTTTTTATACATTTATAGCAGCTCAATGGTTCCGTCTTGCCCAGAATCTCGTTCGGCTTGCAAAAGTAGATACCCAGATCTGGGCCAGACTTCTACAGATCACAGTTGCGGGTGCAACTTTTCATGTTTCATTTTTTTAATTCTCATGATACTCCTCATGATACTTGCAGTTTAGTCGTATCGCCAAGACAAGAACTTGGATAGATTATCCACACTCTTTTGGGACCCCATTGATCGTCCATTAGGCTTGGCATCAAGCTTGCACGTGTTGGAATCAAAGTCGGAGATTATTGCTAGTCAGGGAACGTGGTAATGATGTATGTTTGGCGGAAGTATGTTATCTCAGAAGAAACAAGTCACGGGCTAGCATCCAACTCTGGTAATTGCGCTTTTCGCATTCGTATCGCTGATTTGTGTCTTGGGTTTGCTACCGTATTCGTTGGCGTGGAATTTGAATCGTTTGACATTGTCCGAGGTTGAAGTTTAGTCAGCGTCAGGCGTACAGTCAACAAATAACGTGCATTGTCTATGGCTCCCGCTTGTACAACGTCATGCAGTATCAGGAAGTTGAAGAACCAGACCTGCATGGCGGAATCCCTGGCCAATTCCACCTTAAATACAATGATAATGGTGATCATGATGATGATGGTAGCGAGCCGGGCGTGGGTTGAGCCGGCCCAAGGTTCCCTCTGTTCCCCTCCACTCTCATTTTTTGCAACCCTTGGTCTTTGGTCTTCACGTTGCACATACCAAGATGAATTTTAAATGGGTTATGGGTTTCGCATCTCAAACTCAAGGCCCTGCGCTTAACTTTGGTGGTCTAGTAGGAATATCTTGACGGACTGACAGAGCAACCAGATACTTATCGTTACTGCCTGGAACTCCAAGTTTTGATTGCTCATGCTTGCCCTCTGACGCTCTGGCAATAATGGCTGGATGCGCCTAGCCCACCCTTGGTACATCCACCATGAAGATTGAACTCTAGCCTCGTGCATGTCGAGACCATAACAGCACATAGCAGGGCAGTGACTCTGAAGGCAATGTTACCCCTGGGCCCAGAAAGTAGCAGACAAGCAGAGGCAATGAATAAAAGAAACATTCATTTATGACTTGCTGCTTATTGAGCTCTTCAGTGTTTGAGGTCCACCGTCAGTGGTGACCTAATCTGCGAGTACTGAGATCCCCAGCGCAAACGGGAGGAACCCCATCCATGACTATTTTGTGCATTCTTGCAGGTTTTTCGCAAACCGTGCTTCCTCTGCGCTATTCAGAGTGGCCCGGATTCAATCGCTAGATATGTTGGAACGGTCATAATTACTACGGCCGTTCAATATATTCGGCACCATTCGTGTGCGACTTCTTAGCGTGGCTGGGGCCTTCGGACACGGTTCTTTAGTTATTCATACGCTGATGTGGCAGTAATTTTCAAAGAAGCCTGGCTCGTTATATTCTCTCTTCGAATATTTGCGAGCCCCAGGGGTCATCACGTCGGCGACCGCATGTCCTGTGTTCGTTGCTAGAGGCTTTTGGAAAGTTCCCATGCTGGCGGTAGCTTTTGAGAACTCTGCGTCTACGAAATTTAAAAGCTTCCATACTTGGGTGGTCGTTCGATGCTTCTGGTCCATTTTACAGATCCGAGGAAAGAAGAGCTACCCGCCCTCATGGGGACTCATCCACAGTTGCTTGCTTTATAAGTCTCCACGTTTGCTGTGATTGGCCTCCGCTTCATTCTGACGGGGTTTACTGCCGAGCTGAAATCTAGAGATACCACAACAGACCTGAACATCATGTGTTGATTTCATACGAAAGATGGCTTGCAATGTATGTCCATGGCCTACTGGCTCGAAACACTTGGTGGCCATGTATGCAACGTCCTAATATCTCAACGAGCATCGTCATCAGCGTCGGGGATGGTGCCCATTATCGCTGGCCAATAGGTGATATTTCCATTCCCAGTAAGTTGCGAGTAGTTATATGGATGCAGCTGATGACATTCCTACTTGTAGATCGCAACAGGCTGTTCTGAATCAAAGTGGAGCATGCATATCTGCGGGACTTGGCATTGTCTAGCTCATGATCTTTCAAAGTTGCCACGGTAAAGGGAGGGTCTTTGGCGTTCGAGCTTCAGCCGTCTCGAGAAGTACTTGCAATTTCATTTTCGGACTTCAGTTTCTGATGACTTGCGATGAAGTTCTCGCCTTCTCCAAATGGGGCGGCCAACTGTGAAGCTGGCCCCGACCTCCGTCATCATTGCCCATGTTCGACGGAAATGACGTCGCTCGCTAGATATAGGGCCACTTTCAAGTTGAATTAACAGTCAGCACCAAGGCCATAAGTCGGCTGAATTCAGCATTCGTGTGCAGCCTGTACTTGCCTTTTTGTACCAGGTTTATTTCTCATTGTGTGTCACCGGCATCCATCGTCCCTGCTCCTCGTCCCACTTCTAGAGGAACTTAACCGCATCTGGGCCATCCGGCATGCGCTTGGTTGCATTCATGCGCGATTGATTGTCGCACATCCGGATGATAGTTAACTCTGTTGAAGTAATACTAGCCGAGGTAGCATCGGCATTCGTGGTTGCTGTTGGTTCTACTAGGTCAGCATTTTATCCCCAATTAGATTGACGGAGTAAGAATACCAGAAGCTGGTGCGGTGTCTGCTATTATCGCGGCCTCCTCGGCGGCAAGAGCTCGTTTTGCCATTCGGGCCGCCGTGGCCTTGGCCGTCTGAGCTCGTCGCTTCGCTTTAGACAGGCGAGGCATGCTTGTCTGGAGACTGCATCAGCACCCTTTTAATATAGGTAAAGGTAGAATTTGAAGCGCACAATTTCTGGATACAGCTGTACAGATGCGGCTGTTGGAGGGAAATTGGATTGTTTTTGTAACAGGAGCCTTCTGGGAAACGGTCTCCGGGTGGTAGGTGGGTCGACGCCGGCCGCACCGTCCGATTCCTCGGCGCTTGGCTCAGAGGTGCTAGGTACGTACTGCCTGAGGTCGAAGGCGGTGGGGTCCGTGCCCGATTCTGCCATTGTGGGCCTTGACGACTGGAGTGGCTTAGGTAAGGCGACGGCACAATGTACCGCATATTTAGT